GTGTAGAAGCTCTAAAAAGACTTGATTGAGATTCTTTGACAGCATAAATAAATCAAATGGACTTGAGGAACTGCAGCTTTGGGAAAAGATAGAGGGAAAGAAGAGTCGAGGTTTGAGTAAAACAGAAGCACATCGACACGGTAATGGGCCTTTAGTGCTGGGAAAAGGTTAGACAGACAGCAACAACAGAAAGTAAAAAAGCAGGACCTTTCAGTGGCACCCTCCAACAACCCGCTAAGAGCAGAGGAAGACAGTGAACAACATAAACAGATGGTCTGAACAACTTTGAGACAAACAGCGCAATGAGAAAAAAGAGAAGACAAACAATAGGAAGGAGTGGGGTACCGTGAACGTCAGTGTTTACTCCAGACCCGACACCTGGAGAAGCATCTTGTGCCTACTAGGCCGTAAAGCAAGAGACGTGTCAAAGAGAACAGAACTCGTTTTTGCCTCATTACCAAGTCAGTTTATACTTGGCGGAATCAGTTGATTGTAGAGCTTAAACGTTAGGATGTCATTTCTATGTCGTCTCATAGGTATTTGTGCATCCTTTCCTTTCTGTTGAGCGACTGACTGAAAGCATTTGCTTGTTCATCTTTAAAGACGACGCATTCTGCTACAGGGTATGGAACTATTTAAGTTTTTAGTTTATTAAGATTTTACAGCACCTGCAAACCAAATAGGTTTTACAAGTACCAAAGACTAGAGGTGTTTCTAGATATTTACATACAAAGAAAAGAAGAAGGAGAGATAAGGCCAATTGAGGTTTGATAGGAAAGAAGGAACAACTCATACCAAGGCACCCTGCAACCAACGATCGTAAAATTGTCATTGGCTAACTTCGGAAAAAAATTCCTCAAAATAACAAAAACAAAGCAAGCGATGACCAACAACACAGCTCACCGACACAGAAAGAACAAAAACATCCACTATTTGAAAAAATCTTCCGTACTTTATTCCGTCATCAATACAAGTAACAAAAATAACAAAATGAAATTCAAAGAAAACGCCCACCAAAATATATTTTACAAAAAGAAGAAAATCTTTAACCACTCCCCTCCCCCCCAAGAAACATAGAAATTAAAAGAGGAACAACTTTATTAAACACCCCCCCCCCCCAATCTCTTATTTCCATAACCACACATGTACAAAAAATACACTGCACTTATAATATGGCAAAACCACTCTTCCTAACCTCCCCTCTGCACCCTTCCTCATACAAAACTCCCCCCTCCCAATCCGGTAGTAGATCCCAGTAAAGATATCGTCCTCTCGTTTGACTTTATGAACTACACTCCAGGATTTCACTGCTTCTACAATCACATCCAGATCTGTTGTTCTTGGTCAGTTCCTGGATCACCCCCTGTGACGTCACCTTGTCCACTCAGCCGGAAATGGACATCGGGAAGGTGAAGCAGACGTCATTGACCGCACCGTCCAGCCTCCACATGACGATCACGTTGATCTGATGAGGAGAAATAACAACACAATAGTCCTGTAAATATCTCATACCTACACAAGGTGGCAGTTAAATTGTCGATTTGCTTCTATTTACTCTAACCAATAAATAAATAAACGAAAAGGTCGGGGGGGGGGGGGGCATCATAAGCTGAGATACATAAGTCTGAAACACAATACCGACGTCTGTGGTTTAGTAGTTCTATGTCTTGCCGTTGTATGTGAAAGGCGTCAGTGTGATTCTCGTGTTGGGGAGTTCTCTATGGAGTATCTACGTTTGCCTGCTGGGTTATTGGGTCATATTCAGCCTGGGTCGGCAATGACAGACAGAGCCGAAGCAGCTCGCCTTGTAACAGATCTAACCCAAGTCGATGGGAGCGTAACACAGCCGTATGTAATTGGGAAACATTTGGAGACTATAACGAACTTTCTTCTTTGGGGGGGGGGGGGGGGGAGGATCCCCTTATATATCCACTTACAAACACATTCAGGGGTGCAGTTTACAGGAAAAAAACGTTGATCAAAGACAGTCAAGTGTAACTTTGCAGTTTCCAAGGACAATCAAACTTTGTAGTCATCAAACTTTGACGGGGTTTTCTCGCTAATTTTACCCTGGACACCAGGCGACCTCCCATCTCATTCAATCATAGTATCCTGACTTCTTTTCTTTTCTTATTTTTTTTGTAAGTGTTTTTACTGCGTTCGCAACTGCATAAGGTCTGACTTCTATTTGAGATTTACAAGGAGTCCCAAAAATGTACACACCGGATAAAATCAAACTCTACTATCAACTATATTTAATGTGTACACATTTTTGGGACACCCCGTATTAAATGGTCGCTTTTAAGCACAAGGGGGCTCTCACGAAAAATGCTGTTTTGAGAAAATGGAAGCTAAAGTTTTTGCCCCTTGTTCAGTTTCTTTAAACGATAAGGAGAGTTTTCTCTATAACCAAACAAATACACACACCAATGAATTTGGTGTAGGTCAAGATTTCTGGAAAACCCCGAAGTCTGGGTTAGCCCG